TCAAGTGACTCTGAGCTCTCGTTACCCGAATGCCAAACATTCGTATTGTCCACTGGTCGAGGTCCAGAACCAAATAGCAGTTCAACAGTCCCCCCTCAGCAGGTGACAAGTCGATTTACGTACGACAAGCGTAGAGCTGGACAGGAATTGCTTCTGGCATTTCGCGCCGTGTAGCCTGGTAAAAGTTTACAGACGTTACAGAGGAGCTACATGCCTCCATCTTCAGGGCGATGAGTTATAGTACTTTCCGCAAATTCCGTCCCACAATTCAGAAGACAGCTATCTTCTTACTAGCCGCAGTGAGAACCTCAAATTCTAATTAACTAATTAATAATTTTCTGCTTGTTTCTTACTACTTCAGTTTGTAATCTGTACCTGAAACTGACTCCCAGAAGATAATAACAAACCTCATTGGTGGAATTCATATTATATAATTATCATCACCGTCATTCTAAAAAAAACTTTTACGAGATGTTTTAGCGTGTTATGAAACCACGACATTAAAATGCGAATTGATATGTAATTTCCATCTCGTTTTATGACCCTCTAAAGCATCAAAATGCCGAAGAAAAACTTTGAGATGGACACTGCATGCGATAATAAACAGTAATGTTTGTATAATTATTTCGTACCTCTGAGCTATAACAAAAGACTCTCTCGTCAAGACGTTGATGGTGACGTCACGATACTCAGCGTGCGTGAATGTAAAAGGTGTTTACACTACAGCCTTATTATAAAATAATGTGTTGAAGTGAAAGACGCTAAGCAAACTTCCAGTCTAGGTCTCCCATTCAAATTCACACAAGAGACAATATTCACCCTTCATTTTGTACTCTGCAAAATAGGACGTCCAGTAACACACGCTGAAGGCTTAAACCAGAATGTTTATGTAGCCATTTCATATGAATGCATTGACACATGAATGTGTACATAGCACATTTAATATTCCTTCACAAATGCAGATAGCTTCTGTTTGTGAAGCCCAAATGCTATTGTCATTGAGACTTCAGCACCTTGTTCCTACTGACTGTCAGGAGAAGGCAGTATCACACCTACGAGAACTTAATTTACGCGAAGAAAAGCCACATATCCACCTTACTATACGGGATGTAGTCAAGCCATGGCGATCTAGGGCGACTTAGCCTAGGGTGTGAGCCCCGTGTTTAAAGTACAACGCATAGAGTAAGCACTTCTAGAAACCTAGAAAATTATGTAGCCTAAAACTTCAGATAGCACCAAGGATATAAATAATGTAACTTACATAATTGTTTTGTTTGTGGATTGTTTCTCGTTAAATTCCGTGTAAAAGATAAAAAACAGCAAAAACGACCTCATATTATGTAAATCATACTCGTTAATTTCAACGGGAAACTGCGGGGCCAGACCTCTAGAGGTCTTAAATTTTTAAGGTTATAACATCATCCGGGCGATGATGGAAGCAGCAAGTAACTCTGAAACGTCGATAACGTCCACCAGACTACAATGCGTTACAACTAGGAAGACAGCCATATTCTTCTTGGTTTATTTAACGACGCTTTCTCAACTACACAGATTATATAGAGTTAAATAATAAATTAGGGAGAATGTGAGGAGAATCGATTGTAAATCACACGAAGACGGTGTTGCAGAATTCTTCAAGTGGGAATGAGGAAGTGGCATTTATATCACCACCTTGTTCAAAATTTGCACAACTTCTGTGGTGAGGTGCGGTGTTAACATAACACTGGAATAGCACAGTAATTAAGACCGCTAGCGAGTTATTCAATGACAGACGGCAAAGAACAGGCGAAGTGGTGTATGCAGTAATATGTACACAAAATACGGGCATAACACAAGGTATGTTAAGAAGACATACAAAAAAATCTTCATCTTTGTTAACTACAAAATAGAGAATGATATAAAATAGCTTTAACCTTCAGGCATTTCACTAAAATAAATATTCAATAATTTGCTCACTCTTTGACAGACCATGCAATCTTCATGTGATACACTGTCATGTTATTCACTTAAGCTGTTTCATGAACACTTTTATTCGAAGCCCTGAAACGAACCTTGCGTTTATTATTAGGACGTAATTTAGTTCATAATTAGAACAGTTGCTAACACATGTAAATGGTAAGAAACATAAGAAATTAGTCATTAATTTCCTAGCGTTTTAATATTGGGACAAATTCAGTGTACGAGTATGAAACTGGGAAATACAAAATAAGTAACGAACTTCAAGAATTAAGTTTAAGAATGTATACAGACCTACTTTCATATAAAGGCCGCAAAGAGTAATATTGGAATGAGACGTATATCAAGACTGACGGTAAATTATACAGAACCCTTACACTGTGCATGTCGCTGAACAAAGGCCAGTCAATAAGTTTATATCCTGTTGTCTTTTATGGGCTTAAGCATTCCCCAATGCCGGTCCTGTAATGAACACATCTTACATAATGCAATATGATGTTTACATTCAATACCAAACACATTTAAATGTGACATTATATTATACATCTGACGAACGAATCACTGCATTTAACACAGGCCTACAGGCACATAAAGCAGGAAAGGACCTTCAACGTTTCCTTGGGTCAAAGCAATCAAACAATTTCTGCATATTTATGCAAACGTTACATTAAGCTGATAAACTCTGTGATGTAGTTTTCAGCACGAGTGAGTTCTAGACACAGAAACTTAATTAAATTATTAAATACGTGACGCAAGAATAGCATCCTTTTAAGACACAAAATGGACGCCAAAGTGTGTAATTGCTTAGCAAATTGAATGGATATGAAATTAATTGGAGGAAGGAACTATTCAGTGGGAAACAAAATTTTGATCGTTTTATTACCAACACGTGTGTGTGAAATAGCCGACAGACAGATTTATTAAAATGTAATTTGCACACTATGTTTAATTACATCTGCCTGATGCTTACCGAATCCTTCGTTATGCTTACAAAACATCACAAAGCAGAGGACACCCTTTGGGGATCGTAAATGGATATAACTGTAATTTCATCTTGGAAGCTATACACGAAACTAGTGTTTGTTTAATTAAATTAATGTACGTAAATGTTCGTGGTTATAAATATTGTGGGAAAAATAACCTTTGAAAGGAGAGTTTGAGGAACAAGGTGCAGCTGAAAAGTCTGAAACCAATATCAAAATTGGATCATTCTACAGTGTTTAGAATTCACCAAGTCCCTGATTGTAGTTGAGAAGCTTCATATGTATAATTCTCCCGGCCACTTACGTTGAAATAAAAATTGAAATACGCTACTAAGAGTGCATATTTTCTCCTCCCAAAACAATCAGTTTAATAAAACACCTTAGCCAATTACATTTATACTATTCTATAATGGTCATGCTCATTCAACCTCGTTTCAGTTCTATCGAACTCTACGCTAAGCATGCCATACGTGTCGCAGAACTGCCTAGAAATTTGTAATAATCTAACAAGCTAGTAATAACACTCGAAATTTCACTACTCTACTTATTAAAGTCCAATAATTAATATTATCCTGAGGTAGACTCCTAAAATCTATTTCCTTTTTGGTTTTCTAAGTTACCCCTTTTCAAAAGGTACCTCCGCCAAAATTATAAACTAACACAGATATCAACGGATGGATGAATATAAAGATTTCTGATAATTATCCATTAACTATTAAATTGCTCGTCAAAAATCACGGGAAGATCTGAAGTGGTAAACACACAGTCATGAACACTGTCCCAAAAGACAGATTCATAAATATAATTTTGTAAGGCCCAAAATCCAACCAACCAGCTAACCTAACCTAACCTAACCTAACCTAACCTAACCAACTCTTGCTTGTTACAAAGATTCGAAAAATACAGAATTTCTGTTGCGTAAGATATGATTCGTTCGTCAGAAACTGTCGGGAGTCGAAATGTATTTGTTACTTACGTCGAAAGCTCCTTTGATGATCGGTCCAGCCTGACCTACATAGAGCGTTGACGCAGAATCGAACACCAGCTCCTGAGGAATTCTCTTCGTGACGACCGTATCATACTTCTGACAGTTGAAGAACAGAGTCACGTTGTTTGCAGTGACGCTTAGAGCAAATCTGGTCCACTTCTTCACGAACGATGGCACAACGAAACTAGCGATAGTTTGAGAAGCAAAATGGCTGTTCACGTCAGTGTAGAGGAGGCTGATGTTCACGCTTCCGGGTTGTGAAGGTCCCGAAGGTGTGATCTGAACTCCCAGTTGTACCACTGTCTCCAGAGGATTTACGACAGAGAACAGGAAGCCTCCGTCGCGAGTATTGGGTCTCACCGTCGCGACGATGGAAAACTCGCTGTACAGCTTCTCAGGAATGAATATACGATATGGGGACTTCACGTCAGAACCTGGCCGAAGTCCGAAGGCCGGGAAACCATCGAAACCATTGTCAAAGAACTGAGTCTCCTTATCGTCGAACGGTATCTTGATGGCTCGAAGAATATCGGGATCGCAAATCGCTTCTGAAACAATAAGACACGTCATAAAAACATTAACATTATTTTGTCTTTCCAACTATTATCTGTCCCCTCCTCCCTCTGGAAAAGTTTTGTATACTTATAAAACATGATCGTACACTGTGAAGATCTAAGACTCAGAATACATGATAATAAATTTTGAATAATTACATATTGTCATTTTTTTCGCTTGAAGAATATATACTGAACACACCGTAGATATGATTCGGTCTTCGCATACAAATTCAAAAAAAAAAAAACTTGTGCCGTGAGAGATGTCTGATACAGCGTCTTCCGTCAGAAGCCTCAGGATACAGTAAAATGACGAAGATATATGAAACATGATTCCTACTTCTATTCGTTGCCATATTTTGTGCCAGCTTAACTCAATACCCATCTTCACAACTGTACTTCGCTCATATTAACTTCCATATTACCCAAACATCTATTTCTAGTTCTATCCAATATCCTGTTTTAAAATGTGCTTGTATTTATTGTTTGCCCATGCGTGCTGAACGTCTGTTTGATATCAATCGTGATTTGTTCCAACCCCCATCGGAATTTAAAATAAGAATGTTGTACTTTTAAACATCTCGTCGGAAAGAATCCCGGGTTGCCCACGGAAGTGGCATATTGAACCATCGGGATAACGGGAGGTGTTGGGTTCGAGTAACTAAATATTTATAGTTGCGCATTGAAGGTGCAGACAGCAGACCCTATTTCGACAACTCCCTACTTGCCTGCGAGCAGAAGAGTTGTCTGACGGCAGGACTGTAGCTCCAAACCCTCGCTCTGAGTTACGAAAAATTCAAATGCGCCGACGAACAAAGACAATGCCATACACCGGGGCACTGATTAATTCAACGGGGGGAAATTTTTATTAAGGTCAAAGCTTGACGAAATAAAAGCTAAATGTATTGTCACTGAACTTCGTCTCCGTCCCTACGACTCGCGGCAATTTTAAGCCGTTTGAGCCAAGCGAAGCTAGTTAAAAAATATTGTATATTATCCGTATTTCCACAGTAACTTGTATCAACTGAACAGTTCACTTTCAACTCGGTCTGAATGTCATGCCACTGGGGGGGTCACAGAGGAGGTAATAAATGAAGGCAGAAAAACGAACAGAGTGATAAAAGCAAAGAGACGGCGAGAAAGGAGACAGGAAAGAATAAATAAAATAACAGAGAAACGGAATGAAAGACAGAAAAACAAAGAAACAAAGCAGAAAGGCGGGAAACAAACACCTATGCAAGAAAACAAAGAATTCAAAGAACCAACACATGCGACATCGCAATCTGTCTAGTCAGCATTTCGTGTACAGTCGATACCAAGAAATATGAAACGAGAAGCTATATCAGAGTAACTGGATATAGTTCTGCTTGCTTGTAAAGCAGCACACAACAATAAAATAGCAACCCAGTGGACAGCTGCAGTGATTACACCGGTCACAGAAAGAAATATGCAAATGTTCCGTCACACACAAGCACGTCGTAAGAATGTCTGATACAGCGTCTTCCGTCAGAAGCCTCAGGATACAGTAAAATGACGAAGATATATGAAACATGATTCCTACTTCTATTCGTTGCCATATTTTGTGCCAGCTTAACTCAATACCCATCTTCACAACTGTACTTCGCTCATATTAACTTCCATATTACCCAAACATCTATTTCTAGTTCTATCCAATATCCTGTTTTAAAATGTGCTTGTATTTATTGTTTGCCCATGCGTGCTGAACGTCTGTTTGATATCAATCGTGATTTGTTCCAACCCCCATCGGAATTTAAAATAAGAATGTTGTACTTTTAAACATCTCGTCGGAAAGAATCCCGGGTTGCCCACGGAAGTGGCATATTGAACCATCGGGATAACGGGAGGTGTTGGGTTCGAGTAACTAAATATTTATAGTTGCGCATTGAAGGTGCAGACAGCAGACCCTATTTCGACAACTCCCTACTTGCCTGCGAGCAGAAGAGTTGTCTGACGGCAGGACTGTAGCTCCAAACCCTCGCTCTGAGTTACGAAAAATTCAAATGCGCCGACGAACAAAGACAATGCCATACACCGGGGCACTGATTAATTCAACGGGGGGAAATTTTTATTAAGGTCAAAGCTTGACGAAATAAAAGCTAAATGTATTGTCACTGAACTTCGTCTCCGTCCCTACGACTCGCGGCAATTTTAAGCCGTTTGAGCCAAGCGAAGCTAGTTAAAAAATATTGTATATTATCCGTATTTCCACAGTAACTTGTATCAACTGAACAGTTCACTTTCAACTCGGTCTGAATGTCATGCCACTGGGGGGGTCACAGAGGAGGTAATAAATGAAGGCAGAAAAACGAACAGAGTGATAAAAGCAAAGAGACGGCGAGAAAGGAGACAGGAAAGAATAAATAAAATAACAGAGAAACGGAATGAAAGACAGAAAAACAAAGAAACAAAGCAGAAAGGCGGGAAACAAACACCTATGCAAGAAAACAAAGAATTCAAAGAACCAACACATGCGACATCGCAATCTGTCTAGTCAGCATTTCGTGTACAGTCGATACCAAGAAATATGAAACGAGAAGCTATATCAGAGTAACTGGATATAGTTCTGCTTGCTTGTAAAGCAGCACACAACAATAAAATAGCAACCCAGTGGACAGCTGCAGTGATTACACCGGTCACAGAAAGAAATATGCAAATGTTCCGTCACACACAAGCACGTCGTAAGAAAGGAACGGACAGAGAGAGAGAGAGAGAGAGAGAGAGATGCTGTTGTGGCGGCGCACTTCTGAGTCCGATGAAACATCGTCAGATGGCAGCAAAATGTAGGAACAGCAAGACCTAATCGGGCTGGGTAATTTATCATTATTTTACGTAATTAAGATTTGAGTTTCAATTGTTGAAATTTTAGACACTTTATTCCAGACGAAATGTGGATGCTTTTATCTCTTCTTAATTTTTTTCAATGGCAAAAATAAATTTCCATTCCGTCATAGACACTCGGTATCCCACACGGCAACAAAGAGAAATCTCCAACTTCACCCTCAGTGTACGAAGAAATAATCCGTCACCTGGGGTGCGTTATTGTCGCAAATGACATGTGCTGGTTTTTGGGGCATTTTTAGCAAAAACATTGACAATTGAAGGGAATCGATTTTTTGTTACTTTTCTTTAGCACATAGGCCTCTCTTACCCGTAACTGGCTTTTCGCTGTTCAAAATCACTCCTATGAAGGAACTAACTTCAACTGAATTATTACCACTTATACTGATGAGGCCATGTTGTATTTATACACGTCAGATGTTCTAGCTAATGCTCCAGGTCTATTTTATATAAGCCTGTAAGACGTTTCGGGAGATAGTTCTATTCGCCAGCGCCTCCTCCAAGAAGAAAGACTGTTTAGGATCAAATTGTAAGGTCAGTGTCACGCGAATAAAACCCATGCCCCCATAAAGATTCGATGGGAGGCGCAAGGCGTGCATTTGGTTCGGGGAACAAGATAGTAGATTAATATTTTTTGTACGCCCAGTATTGAAGTTATGTTTACTGATATAGAAGCGTTAACTGGCACTTAATAACAGTCATGAATCTAATGACTGTTTTTGCACTGATATTTATTATTTTAATTTTGTTTCATCCACTAATGAGGATCTGAAATTGCTGTGAGTTCTTCTTTTGACGACAAGGACATGCCAAAAGGCTTAAAAGCATCTTCGTCATGACAGCTTGTTAAAATATTTACAAATGAATAAACCGTGTTCGTGTTAGAAAAACAGGGACTAGGATAAACTGACAGATTCATTGTAAAAATTAGTACACTTTTACACTCATCGCTATTTCTACGTACGAACATCGAGATAATTACAGTTGTCGCTGCAGCAAAACTACTACGAACTACTTTTAGGAGCGCATTAGACAGTTTCCTATCAAAATGACGGGAAATCTAAAGCATTACTTAAAAAAATGAATTTTTATTGAAAATTGTGGCAAAGCAGTTTATGAATACTAAAATAATAACTTATATTTGCTTAATTACGGAAGCTACGATGCTGCAAAGTGTCTTGAAGCTGTTTTACACAGTTTGAGAACACCACAAAGATGCAACTATTACATTAATATAATATGCACTTAATTAAAGACATTTAAAAAGAGTTTATAATTATCTCTAATGTAAGAAACGAGTTAATTATTTTATTCCGGTTTATTTTAAGACGCATACATCTATCCTACCTGCTGTCTCAGTGACGAGATTTCTCCGTCATTTGTTTTTAGTTTGTGTTTGTGAAAGGCACGCACAATACTGCAAGAAACCTTTTGTCTTAGGAGCGTAAAAAAGTTGACGACCGAGAAATATCGAATATTCAACTTCATTCTTCTAAGTAAACGGAATACACGTGAGTTTTAACTAATGAGTCTGTATGAATAAAGAATGACGTAGGCTGTAAGGTAAGAAACAAAGTAAAAGGAAACAAGAAGAGAAATTATTAAAAGTCCTGGAACCTCCAAACGTACATACGCTCTTTTACGCTTTCGTAGTTACTGAATGGATCGTTCTTTGCATAATTTAGTTGGGTTGAAACTTCTAAGAGATGATATCGGGACGTCTTTTTTTTATTAACGACTGGTGCTTATGAATTCAGAAACGAAACGTCCGATGTTGGTCTTCTGAGTTGCAACGCCGTGTTAGTCCGGCTAACACTTTGAGAATTAAAAATAAAATACGAAAGGATTTAGTAAAAGTCAGAACAAGCATGAAATTACAAAAAGGAATTTGTGCATTGAAATAAAGGAAAATTTTCTTCATAATAAATTGGGCATGATCACGTTACGTAATTGGATGAGAGCGTCGAATTATAAGATATTAAGTAATGAATTGGAAGGAATAAGAAAGGAAGCTATCCTAATCTAATTTGAGGTACTATCCCGGAAAATGCCTGGAGGGAATGAGGAAAACCACGAAAACCCTATTTTAAAGGAACTGGTCTCCGTGCCGAGATTATAAACCGGGACCTCCCGATAGTCCTAAGACAAAAATATTTGGTGTGAAAGTTTTAAGGTTGGTCAGTCTGAATATGACACTTTCAGGTTCGTAAATAATATAATTTTATTTTTGTTCTGCAAAGACAAAGTTTAATAATTACACAGACCCTCAACAATGCAAGAACAGTTAACGGCTTAACAATGGCAGTCACACGGCTCTTGCAAATTTATTAACAAACTGCCGAGTGTTTTCAAAAATTTATACGAAACGATTGAGACAGACGCGAATTTTTAAAACGCCTGCAAGACACGTCACGAGTTTGCAGTAATTACAGGAAACAGACCAAATAAATGTTCTCCTAATTCGTCAACAAGTTGAAATTAAACTTCGCTTAGCGTTTCGTTACTACTTTGTATCTTAAGAAAGGTGCAATTAAAATCTTTAGCGTCATCGTAATGCTACATCTGGCAGCAGAAAAACGTCGCCAGGTCTTCATAAATAATTTATTTTCTGCCAATGACCTTCTAGTATTAGGTCTGTAAATGAAACAGAAGCGAGGAGGTGTTTTATCCACAACGAAACCGCGGTTCTGATAACCAGACAAGATGACGGCTTTCTGCTATCTCGTAGAAGTTGACCGACGTTTCGGAGGTCCTTGCTACTGACTTAATTACAAGTTCGGAATCTAAAGGGTTAGCATCTGGCCCTTCGCTGATGAAATGGGGAGAGCAGAATACAACAAAATGCAGAGACTGCGATATAGACTTAATGTAACGCTAAAGTGGGAAGAAGGAGGGAGAAATTGATGACGTGGTCAGAGAAAATAGAAGAATAATTCAGGAGACTGACTCAACGACTACGTAATTTCAAA